ACAAAAAAAAAATCTAGCACGCTTTATCCTTTACAGCGGAACAAACTCCCCTTCCCTTTGAGAACATCTGCCTTTATTTATAGAAACAAAAATAAAAGCTGTGAAAAAAAAAAGGAATTAAAATTCTACTTGGTTTTTACCTTTTTGAAATTTGCATTGTCTCTTGACTCTTCTTTCGAAGTGTGATCCAGCTGTCTTCCCATTTATTCACGGATTCTTCGCCAAGCGTTAGTCATATCCCTACTTTTCGTTACATCCTTGTTTTTACTTGCTCTTTTTCCCCCATTCTTCCCTCAGTTTCCCCGTTTTTCCCGCTTTTTACGTTTTTTTAACTGTCTTGAAAGTGATGCAGTCAACTCTAAAAATTCGAATGTTTCAATTTGTCATTTTTTTGTTTTCATTATGTTTATATTGGACCATAAATGAGACTTTTTAAGGAATAATTTACATCGCAATTAAAAAAGCCGCTGCGTTTCGGCCAAATTTTGTGGTGGCAAAATGGTTGATCTAAATACGCTGGCATATTTAACTAATTAAGGGGTTTGTTGAATGCTTAAGTTTATAGTAAATTGATGAAACTATAGCAAGCAGACTGAAAACTTTTTTCAATAGGAAAGACTGCTAATGTTTTAAGATGGTTCCAGGTTAATAAACGTATTGTTATGAGCTTCATATCTCTATTTACCTTTCCCTGAATTTTAAACACACAAAGATAACGCAGGTGTTACATTCGTTGGTATTTTTCCAGGAGCAGTTTTAAATAAAAGATGCCCCTAAGCCGAAAATCTCGTTTGTTTTGTTTTTCTTTTTTTTGTTCAAAGTTGTTGATCTTAGCATAAAACAGCTTCTGGGGTTTAATAGACAACGTACCCATTTGGCGAAAAATAAGTCTGCAAATTAAAGGCGTGTCGTTTTAATTCAGAGATGTTGTCATTGCGTTGTTTACAAAGTTCGTACTACGACATAAAACCGCAAACAGAGACGTTATTGAAGAAGCCTGCAAGTGCATTTTCGCTCTTCCTTATCACGCTCGACAGCTCGCTCACTTTATTGTTCTTGTGACACATCTCAAAGCGATTAGCATATGAAAGGTTACCGATGTATTGAATTGGACTGAGCTCTGCACAAACCCACTAGTATTGTCTCTGGTGATCGCAGGCTTACACGAATGGCGACGTCCGTTGCTGCAGTGAAGGCGGATAAACCCGCCGAAAATCAGGGAAAACCTGGCGTTGAGGCGACCGTTCCCTCTCCAAATGAACAGAAGCCGGCAGCGAAGAAAACAGAGCTTGCAATTTTGAACTTTGTGATAAAATATTTGAAGTTAGTCGGAGGTGCTTTGCTGATTTGGTTTATGGGCTGGTTTGGGTTGAGTTACGTCTGGATCATCTGCGGCTTTTTCGTATATGTTTTATGGCGCATGAATCAGGACGAAAGAAAGACTAGGAGACAGGCGTTCAGAGAAGCTGTAGAAAAGGAGCAAGAAGTAGTCGAGGCGCGAATAGAAGATCTGCCATCTTGGGTAAGAGAACGTTTACAGGCAAATGAACGTACGTAATGTGCTTTCAAACATTTTGTGCCAGAGATAGCCTTTGTTTGTAGACCGATCGCGTTGGTCAAGTCATCAACAAAATTGTGATATGAAACTGACTTGAATTTTTTCCCGAGAAATATTTTTCCTTAAGGCTTCGAGCTGTTAAAGAATCACGTAACGCGATCTGAATTATCCCAGCTAATGCACGTTGCCTCGTGTTGAACGTGTGAGTTACTAGTCATAATGATTTATTTACTCTAATTCATGTGGACTGGCATCGGTAAAGTCCTCTCCTAAAATATTTGACCATATTTCATCTCTAGTTTGCTGTTAAATCTTCGTTAAAGCTTATAATTATTATGTTATTTGGTTAGGCGTGGTCAGAGCTTTACTCTCGAAAGTTCGTTCAGAAGTTATTGCAGGACTATAAATGCGTTTATACCCGTATTAAGCCCTTGTGTCGCAGTAGTCCTCGAGTCTGGACTTGTTTTGAGAGATTTATGACATAAACTGTTTGACAGTTTAAGAATATAATAGGCCTCACTCCTGGAGCAGTCACTTGGTGATGTAAACACATCTAAATTAGTAATAGCTGATGCATCTCACAAAGTTGTAAGGTCGATCAACCTTCCAAGTTCCTATCTCTTTATTTAACTTCGAAGGCGGGAGAAATTATTCGGACAATAAACAGAATTTGCGCAGACATTTCCTAAAGCTTCTCTAAGCATGTAACTTTGCTGCGCGTTCTTAGCTCAAGTTCGAGAAATTTCCCAATAACAATGGCTCATAAAACATTCAAGATGTCTTACTTGTCCCAGACAAACATCTGTGCCAAGTGTCTGTTCGGGTGTTTAAAGACACTCCAATGTGTTCTACATGTTTTAGTCTGACTTTGATAGTTGTTGGATTAAAATGGCTTAAGAAGAAAAATAGTTTTGTGGAAACTATTTGACGTTTGGATTGAAATCCCCAAATAAATGTTTCAGTAAGTTTGTTTCCTGGTTAAGATTGTACATTGTTGCCTTTGTTAAACTTTATAAGACCTTGAGCATGTTGCAAGGATAGACATTAAAAAAAGCAAAAGGAATATCATAAGAATAAGAAACAATTCATGACTACAAAGTGTGAAATACATTTCTGAAAAAAAAATTTTTTTTGCAGATATATGTGATACATTTGCACCATTCAATTTATTTTTTTTGTTATGTAGATGTTATAATGACAATATTTCCAAGCACACACCTGCCTCATGACATTCATCTTGAAGCTATCATTTTAAAGCAATTGCAAAGAAGTGTGAAGTTAGCATTGAGTGTTATTTTGCATTTTTCATTCTGAGCAAAATGACCATCTTTCCGTATAGCAGTACTGTGTAAATTTCAAAATTCAATCAGCCCTTACTTGCCCTTTTCGAAAAACCAAAGAATTTTACCCTGGGATTACATGTAAGGTACAAAAACCTTGATCTGGCTGGGTCTGCTGTTACCTTTATTTAAGGGACACTTGCATTCAGAGGCACTTTTTCTAGTCATGGGGGTGTCCTTTGGAAATAGCAGAAGTCCATATAACAAATGCCTTGGTGTTTGAGTGAGAGAAACAGGCTGGGCAAAGTACCCACCCATAGAGTTGTTTAGTCATGCATCAAAACAAACAAACTATACCAGAAGAGCTGTCAAAAAGGTTTGAAATTAGAATTCAACGAAGTTCTTTTGAAGATTGTAAGAGAGACTGGTACCTATTTAGTTAAAATGCTAAGAGCATCCCACTAAACCAGCAAAATATTGTCATGGGAATGTTCTGAGTAAGGTTGTGATTCACACATTTAACCTTGTTCCTGGTAAATTTTGCATTCAATTTCATTCAAATCTTGGAAATGGCTGCTGTCCAAATTTCTTGGATGGCATTTTAATAGGACTACAAATGTTTTTTTTTTTTTTTTTTTTTTTTTTTTTTTTTTTTCATCAGCAGTTAAGAAGGAATGAGGAGAAAGAAGCTGGCTAGATGAAAAACTAGCTGGTGTTGTACTTGCTGGTAACCAGCCCCTATTGATGGTTCTATACAGGACTTATATATTTTGATTGTCTTCCAAGAAATGTTATTTCAGCTAGTTTTTCTGTCTTACAGGTTTTCTTTCCTGATGTGGAAAGAGCAGAATGGCTCAACAAGGTAAAATACAAATAAAATATATTAAGCAATTTTTTTTTAAAAAAAACTGATGTGTGGCATCCTGTCAATACTGTTAGGCCACTCTTATATTAACTAATCACATGCAACTCTGTCACTTGAATCTTTCTAATCCTGTGCTTAAGGCAAATAGCTTATTTTTCCTTTTAGTTATAATTGGCTCCTTATAATATTTTCCATTAATGTTATTGGCCATTTTAATTACTTAATTAGCTTTGGTATTACAACCCTAAGATGTTCTGCAATCAATCTTAGTACAGCTTACATGCTCACATGGTTTACCATTTCCTCTCTTTACAAGTCACTCTTGAGATAAAACAAGCTAGGCAAAATTTTTGTTGCTTAGACAGCAAGTTGCGGTATTGACATTTGATCTTGCTACTGATGCTGTTTTTTCCGATTGTATGATTATCCAACGATAGATGCTGGTTCAACTGTGGCCTTATATCAATGACATGGTGATAAAGATCTTAAAGGAACAAGTGGAACCAGAGATTCAGAAAAATGTGCCTGGATTTTTGAGCTCCATTCATTTCAAAGAAATCTCCCTGGGTGAAGTGGTGAGTCAAACAGAGGCTTTTACACATCAGAGAATTTACCACAATTTGTATATGACTTCTATTTTAAAAATGCAGTGATACAATTTTCTAACTCACTGTGTTTTGGTTTGCAGCCTCCCCGTATTGGTGGAATCAAGACATACACTCATAATGTGGACCGTAACGAGATAATCATGGATATTGATTTAATGTGAGTAAGCTTCAATTCAAGCTTGATCATTTACTTCCTGTGCCACTTTATTTATTAATATCTATGATTTTATAATTTTTTAAAGAATCATCATGACCTGGCTGGTGCTGTGTCAATGACAAGTTTTACTTGTATTCCTTACTGACAGAGCTGTTAGATTTAAACTCTTTACCCATTCATGCTCAGCAGTGACCAAAATGCAATTTAAAATTACAATTCCAAAACAGTTTCAGGCAGAAAGATGTTATGAAGAAAGAATTATATCAGTTAGATATATTTACATACACACATATATAGGTTAATTGACCACTTCCCATGGGGGCTTTTCAGGGCCAAGTCCCACCCATCCCACACCAGGGGAGGACATCCACCACACAGTAATCTCATGCGTGGGAAATTAACGTCTCCTACCCCAACCCTGCAGGAGACAGGGCCTACGGTTTATTCGTCCTTCTCCGAGAAGACTAGAATAGCTATCCATTTCTGGATTATAGAAAGGTAGCAAATTCTCCTCCTTTATATTAAGACCATGAGTAATGGTCCGGCTGGGGCTCGAACCCTCGACCTCCCGCATAACACAATCCAACACACCAAATTCTCACCATTAGAATTTTATGAAATGTATAGCACACAGTGTGGAGAATTAAAATTTAAATCTCAGAAGTTAGAGGGTTGTGGCTGCCAATGAATATGGTTATCCACGCCGTTGGATGTACTGTAAATGTTATGGGAAAAAAAGAAATTTTTTTACAATTTTGTTTTCTGTTTTATTTATTGTCATTGCTTTTAGTTATGCTGGAGACTCAGACTTTGAGTTATCTGTCAAGGGTATCAGTGTTGGCATTGAAGATCTCCAGGTATTACACACAGAACATTTTAGCTGACATGTGATAAACGGGATGTCTCTTCTATCATCTTGGTGCATTCTTATGGGTTTCTTTTCATCATATTTAGCTTCGTGGAAGTCTGCGTGTGATCCTGCGTCCTCTTATTCCTGCCGCTCCTCTTGTGGGAGGAGTGTCAGTCTTCTTCCTCAACAGACCGGTAAGTTGGAACTTAAATTTGTTTATGTATGATGCACGATCCTCCCAGTAGAGAGCGCTATTTATGCAATAGCGAAAATCAGACCTGAAAAAATCAGGCCTGTACGGGATTAGAACCACTGACCTCTGGGATACTAGTGCAGCGCTCTACCAATTGAGCTAACAAGCCAACTGGTAGCAGGCCAACTTAATGGCCTGCTCCGAGTTGGATGTCCAGTGCGCCCGTAAGCGCCCATGTGGAACCACACCCTTTCTACACCTTGTGACGTCATCACTTTTAACCCTGGAGCACAACTTTGAGCACGTACTTAAACAGGTTGAAAATATCTTACAAACGATACCAGAATGAGTGCAATTGAGTGAAGGACACTGGAGAAATAGCCAAAAAACCATGTAACTTTGACCTGAAAATCTGCACGAAAATCTTGTTCCATTACCCACCTACCTTTCTGAGCATGTGGTTTGAAAATAATGAGTAGTTTCCTAAAAAATCTCTACACCAAAATGAAGCCTACTAAATTTCCAGCAAGTGAGGAGAAATGAAGTTCATATATTTTGAACTGCGGTTATAGATACGTATGATGCACGATCCTCGCAGTAGAGAGCGCTATTTATGCAATAGCGAAAATCAGACCTGAAAAAAATCAGGCCTGTACGGGATTCGAACCACTGACCTCTGCGATACTAGTGCAGCGCTCTACCAATTGAGCTAACAAGCCAACTAGGAGCAGGCGAACTTAACGGCCTGCTTCGAGTTGGCTTGTTAGCTCAATTGGTAGAGCGGTGCACTAGTATCGCAGAAGTCAGTCGTTTGAATCCCGTACAGGCCTGATTTTCGCTATTGCATAAATAGCACTCTCTACTGCGAGGATCGTGCATCATACGTATCTATAACCGCAATTCAAAATATATGAACTTCATATATTCATCGTATCTTAAATTTCTTTGTCCATTGTATGAAAGTTAATTTTCAATAGTTTTAAGAAAAACTGAATCAGATGTGGATATTAAGAAATAGATTTCATGTTGCAGTCTGTCTGTTTAGTGATAAATCACAGGTGACATTGAAGTGCGAAAAGAAGAAAAAAACTGGTACATGAATTAACCTATTGATGTCCAGTGTGCCCATAAGCGCTCATGTGGAACCACATCCTTTCTACGCCTTGTGACGTCATCACTTTTAACCCTGGAGCACGACTTTGAGCACGTACTTAAACAGGTTGAAAATATCTTACAAACGATACCAGAATGAGTGCAATTGAGTGAAGGACACTGGAGGAATAGCCAAAAACCCATGTAACTTTGACCTGAAAATGTGCATGAAAATCTTGTTCCATTACCCACCTACCTTTCTGAGCATGTGGTTTGAAAATACTGAGTAGTTTTCTAAAAAAAATCTCTACACCAAAATGAAGCCTACTAAATTTCCAGCAAGTGAAGAGAAATTCAGGCAAGGAAAGGGAAAAAAAAAGGAGAAAGAGAGAAAAGTAAAAGTCGAAAAGTAAATCTCGAAATTTCGCTTTCTGTGCCTGCCTGAGATTTTCAGGTTGCCATTTTGCATTTGCATCAAAAGGCCGTTGAGCGTACAAGCTGTGAATAGGTTTGTGGTAAGTTTGAGCTTTTAAAACCTCAACAGTGACCCGAAATCTGCTCGACTAGCTTTAAAACACATTTTTTCACAAAAGCTGCGGCTATTAATGGGTTAAGGTGCAACCAAGTTTGTCACTGATAGGTCACCACATTTTGATTTCTTCCACAATATACTAAAACTGAACATACAGACTGCATGCATGAAATCTAATTTTTTTATATTTATTTAATAAAAAATCGATAAAATGTTGCCAATGATATGATAAATATCGGACTCTTTCCTCCTATAGAATGAAAGTAAGAACCAATCAAAGGGATTCAGCTTATTTAGCAAGTTTTGTTTTTCATTTTTGACAGGACATTGACTTTGACTTCACAAACTTGGCAAACATTCTGGATATTCCTGGTCTGAGGTATGTGTACTTTGATTAATCTTTCAGAAACCCTGATGGGGCAAAAGCAGATATGCTTATCAGAAGTAATGAACATTAATTAGCATACATTAGGTTATGGTTATTCATCGTGGTAAATAACACTTTAAAAGAGAAACGTAATTATTTATATCATAATGTGATCACTTGGGTTTCGACTGCATGCTGACAGTCTTCTTCATCACTTGATGAAGATTAGCAGTATGCAGTCAAAACATCACAATCCTCATCCTGAGTGACCACAAATGATTACATTTCTCTTTAAAGAATCATTAGTTGTAAAATAGACATGACTGTTAAACTAATCTGGAGTAGAGGCATCCTCGGAGACCCAGGGGCTGTGAGTTGAGTTCAAGCTAGGGTGGAAGAGCCCCCGAGGACATTGTTTTACAAGACTAGTTCCAAACGGTCGCAGTTGTTCTGGCATCTGATTGGTGCCAGAAAATCTTTGTGTTTTTCTGCCCAATCAGAACTGCTTTAGAGTCCTTTCGTGTGTTTTAACACGGACATATACAAGAAGCTTAGTTCCTCGCCGTGTTTGTTTGGGCTGTATGATGGAGCTTTGCTCAAGGTGAAAAGTTTCAGTCTCAGCACACATTGTAAGAGAAATCGATCAGATTGTCCGCGAAAATCTCTCTGGAAATTATACTGAATACTTTCGCAGGTATCACAAGAGAATGTGTTTAAA